ATATATGTGTGTGTGCGTGTGTGTGTGCATGTTTGTATATGTATATTTTATTTTTGTATGTTTGTATATGCATATGTATATATATATATATCACGTATCTATCAGTCACGATTGTTTATGTGTATTATATACATATACAAATGCGTATGTTTTTTAAAACTATTTACTTGTGTGTGTGCGAGTGTGCGCCTGTTTTTGTGTGTGTGTGTGTATGTATTTGTATATATATGTGTGTTTGTGTGTGTGTGTGTGTGTGTTTTAGATTACATAAGTCAAACGAATACACATATACGAGCTCAATTCATATATATGCAATCTGCTGAGTCGGCTCTCTCATCTTCACCTCTATGTCATGATTATGTAGTTATTCTTGACATGTGAAAACAAACACCATTTCTTACCCGAAAACACAAAGCTACATATGATAAAAAAATTCATATCTGTGAACGTCTTCTGGCCCCCCTCTGTTGCATTTCTATTCAAAACACAAATCGGCGTCTTAATAGAACTTATAACGTTCCTATTGCTTAGCAGTACGATGTGACACATTGCTCTCGTTTTTTGAATTCATATATGGCAACCTATTAACACCTGTGCTAGTGAATGGGTTCTTGAAGTCTGCAACCGTTCGTACTACTGCATGCATTGACTGTTCAGAGCCAACTTCTGCGTCGTTTACAATACAGCAATCAGAACCGAGAACCAATACCGCACACGTCGACAGTATCAACAACACTACCGCGACTGGCACGGACAATACTCCCGGTGTGCCGAGTGCTGTACACACACCCAGCAAGCTTTTTTCAGGGTCCAGTTATGGGAGATACGATACGCTGAGCGTGTCTGAGATCCCAACAGCGCTGCTACACACAGGCTCAAATGTATCCGACCATCCCGTTCTGTTGAACCAAATTTCACACAATCTGATGTTGGGAAGCACTCCGGGCGAGTCGCAGGTTGAGACGCATAGTTTTGGTAAGTGTGGGAGGTATTGCCTTGGATGTCACACATACTGTAACCTGGGCCGTGCATGTGTCTACAGACGAACTCTCCCGGTACTTTCGCGTTCTCACTCACACCAGCCCCACTTTTCGTATATATACACACAAATGTTTGTATACATATATGAATGAGTGCAAGCGCAGAACTATGTATCTGTGGGTGTGTATATGCATACATATAAATGAACAAGTACCCGTGTTTTATTGTTGCAGCTAGAGGCCCGAGGCCGTGTGTTCTAAAGGGCGACGAATGCACAACGCTACAGACCACTGTGAAGAACATCGTGCAGAGCTTCACTAACGTCACAGACGACGGTAGTAGTGCACAGATTGCCGCCATCGACACAACGTATGCGAATGCCCAAGATTTCTGGCAGCTGCATATGTGGTACACGGCTAGATATGCACCTGTACGTGAGGCTAACTCGGGCGATGGGCCAACGAGTGCGGGCACAGGTGCAGAAAGGGGCAGCGGTAAGCCAGGGGAGACAGATGCGAATAGAACGGCAAGTACAGACGCTGGTACAAGTCCCCCAGTAGATGGCAGCACACAAGGAACCACGAGCGTGGCTTCAGACACCGCCGCACACACACCCACACCCACATATACTGCTAAGCACACCCAGCTGCGCTACCCCCCATTGGTAGTGCTATTCGATGACTTCGAGCGGTTCTCAGGGCCTTTACTGGATGCATTGATACACATATGCAGACAGTGGCTGCCGTCTCTGCCGTTTGTGTTCATCTTCAGCATCGCCTCGTACTTTGACCGTGTGCACGATGTGCTCAACCGCACATCGCTGTCGGCGCTAAATATGACACGGTTGACACTTCAGGTGCGTGACATGGGGATGTGCATATATTGATCCTTGTTTGTATGCATGCATGTCTACGGTTAAGAGTGATATACCGACGTTCAGACATGTCTATTGCGATGGATTGTGTTCAATGGGCAGATTCAATATATGACACGGCTGACACTTAAGGCAAGTGTCAGAAAGCGACACATTTTCTAGGATAGAACATGGAAACTTTTTAGAATATGATATGCAGACTTGCATACATGTGTCATTATAAATCATGCATAAACGCACTTGGACTATTCTGAGTTGGATATGTATAGCTGAATAACACTACACGGTGATTGCT